AAACAGTAAATATAAGTTCAGATTTTCTAAGGAGAAAAAGTCATATTTTTATTTCTATTAAAAGGATATTTTAATAAACAGTCTTAGGTTTTATGTTCTATAAGTGAATGGTACCAGCTTGAATTTATTATATTTTCAATTGAACATTCCTTTGGCCTTATTAATAAAAAATACACTTTAAGGAAGGAAATCATTTGACAGCTAGGAAAATAACACCGCATTTTATGTTTGTCAGACAAGCTTGAGTTTAGAACCTAGAAAGTACAGCAGTTAAATTGCAGTATGCTTAATCAAGCTTGTTTAGTTTACATATTTTTATAATGTACAAAGTGAAATTTAACCAAGAACCTTTCAATACAATCTGTTGCAACAGATTAATAATCCTTTTCCTCCTTAGAAACTTTACAGTAGTTAAGAAAGCCAAATCATTTTTTAACTTTCTGATTTGGATTTTTAGGCTGGATACCTAATTAACTAATACATGAAATTGGTAAATAGGCATTATCAATGTGACATGCCTTCCTAAAACAAAGTATATGGAACTAAGTTTCAATCCACCTAAATTGCTCTCTTAGATTGTACAACTTCCTCAAGAGCTTGAGAAACTAGATCCCTGAATGAAATCTCTTCTCATACTGCCTTCTCTCTGGCAATTTATGATGTGACAAATAGTAAAGTTAGCAAAGCAAACCTTAATATCCCACATGTGTGCTTAAACTCTAAAGAGAGTGAGCCAAGCAATAGGAAAAAAAACTTGTAAGTAAAATTTTGGTATGTTACATATGGTTAAGAACCAGGAAAAAGATAAAGCAAAAAAGGAATATAGGACCCTAGGTAGAGAGATGATGGATGCAGGACTGTAATACAGAATGAAAGAAAAGTCCCCTCTGAAATGACTAAGTAGAAATGTGGAGGAAGAAAGCATATAAACCATTGAGTATTGGGGGGAAGAGCATTGCATGCAGAGGGAGCTTGTTATGTTCAGGGTCCAGCATGAAGACAAGTAAGGCCTGAAAGCAGTGAGAAGTGAGATCTCACTAGGATGCAAGGTAAGAGAAACAAAGAAGTGAGAGAGGAGGGAGTCCTGTGGAGAAGGGTACAGAATCTCAATCATACTTCACTATAAGCTATCTTGATAGCTGAGTTTTAAATGAAATAAACCATTAGAAGATTTAGAGTAAAGTGATGTGATATTTTGTTGAGAAGGCCTGACTAAACTGTGGTAAGAAGCAGAAGCAGGAAGGGCCGGTAGGATGCAATAGCAGTTTTCCAAGTGAAAGGAGATAATGATTTGCACCAGAACTATAGCAAAGATGTGAACAGCAGTAAATTTCTGAATAAAGAGCTCCCTGATCTATTTAGCTTACCATTAATTTAAATATTATTTTACAAAAATAAATACTATTTTACAATCATTTGTGACATACATTTTCATAGTAAAATGTTTGAAAATTATAAGTAATTGAAGAAGTCAAAGCAAAAATCACTCAACCTCACTCTTAAAATTTAATTAATAGCTTTTCATCCCTTCTGATTCATTATACCAAATATCATTTTGTTAACCACTATTTACTTGTATATTATGATCATTTCCTATTTCTTTAAATATTTTGCTGTAACATAGATAGCATTAGGGCCTGCATGGCATAGTGTGTATATAACATAATGTAACTGTTGTATAAATAGAGCAGTTTATTTAACCAGTTCTCCATTGTTGACCATATACACCTTTTCAAATTTTTTTCTATTATAAATACCACTAAAATGAACATCTTTGTTGCTATGTCTTATAATTGAGTGCTGAATTTGAGCTCAAAAGAAGACATCATAGGACAGAACTATTACCATAAACTGACAACTTAGATTTTTTTAGTTATAAGGATAAAGAAATTATCTGCGTCTTATGCATAATGACAGATTTTAAAGATACCAAAAATATTTCAATATAAAATATTTATAAATTTCTGCTGAAGACTGAATAAGCACTCATGTATATAAGAATTTGTTTTCTATTTGTAATAGTCATAGTTGACCAACTGGAAAAGCTGTTACTATTTTAAAATTCAACATGAACTGTGGTCATGTTGGCTTTCTGGCACCTAAGCTTTTATAACCATCTGTTTATTCGGCATTATCCCCACTTGTGACACTTATGCCAGTTTCTAAAAACCGTGTTTAAATCAAGATGGACAATATTTATCCTTTGAAATATAAATCATCAATTAAATTATTGTACTGAAAGTTGAACCTAGGCCCTTCACACTGAGCTGTATCCACAACCCTTTTTTCGTGTTTTATTTTGACAGTATCTCACTGTCATTTTGAATTAATTTTTTAAAGACCTATAGTCATTTACTGATTTTAAGAGTATGTGGAAATTAAAATATCCGCAAACTTGTAGCTCTACTAAGTAATAAATAGAATATAAGAGTAATTCTACATGAGGAAGTTGAAATTAGGAAAAGTACCATAATATTTTATACTTAAAAAAACTTTTAATATACTATTCAAGGGGAAGAAACCAACATTTACTTGTTACCTTTTCTATGTGAGGTGCTTTTACATAATTTGAACTTATAAGTATCATAATAGTCTATGGAATAGATTTTATTAACCTTCCTTTTCAGATAATGACAGATAAGATTAAAGTCTCACTAGAAATCAAACGTATTGGTGTTTTTTCATCTTACTGACTAGTTTTAAAACAAAGTCATTATTTTCCTCCTCGCTCTGAGCCCCTTCCTTGCAAAAATTAATGTTCCATATTATCATATGTAGTCTAAGAAAATTAGACAGGGTCACAGAACTACTAAGTAACAATTAGATTTAATTCAGGTAATCCATCTTTAAGAACCTATACTTTTAACTACTACTGACATTGTTTGGATGCTTCAGACACCATGCTTTCATTCTGCCCACATGCTTCCAGTGTGCCCTGTGGTTATATTTCACTTAAGCTAGTCTTTTTTCTTCTTTTTTAGTTTCTTGTTAATTAATGCAAGCTTACATGTGGAATATAGTTTCTCTCTTTTGTTAGCTACTTTTCATCCTCCCCACTATAGCAATAATGGTAATGATAATGATAATGATGTCTGCTAAATTTACTGAGCACTTAATGTGCCAGCTGTCTTCGTCCAAGCAACAACTCCAGGGCCGGGGATTTAGCTCAGTGGTTCCAGCGCCTGCCTTGCAAGCGCAAAGTCCTGAGTTTGATCCCCAGTACCAAAAAAACCCAAAACAAAACAAGCAACAACTCCATTGAAGCAGATACTATTAACTCTGTATTTTAGATGAGATTTCTATGGTGTAGAGAGGTTACATAACGTGTGTTATGTTTGCATCTAAAATGTTCCCCAAAAGTCTCATGTGTCCAGAGGTGGGGCTTTTGGAAGGTGATTGAATCATGGAGCACTAAATTCATCAGTGAATTAATCCTGTTGATGAGTTATAACTGAGTGTGCTGTTAGAAGGTGGGGCCTGGTTGAAAGAGATGGGCTACTGGAGATGTGACCTGCAAGAGTATATTCTTATCCCAGGCCCCTTCCTCTCACTGTGCTTCCTGGGTGCCATGGATTGAGCAATTTTTCTCCATTATGCCTTTCCACCACATCATTTCTTCCTTAGAACCAGCTGACTGTGGAATGAACCCTCCAAAAGTGTAAGCTAAAATAAATTTCTCCTTTAAATTATGGGTATTCAGATATTTTGTCCCAAGAACAGGAAAGCTGACTATTGTGTATCCTCATAATATTAATTAATGATAGACCCTGCATTGGCCAGATCTGTCTGACTTCAGGGATTCACTTTTTTAAAAAATTATCTTTTTCAAAACCCAGGTATAACTTACATAGTGAATTGCCCAACTCTAGTTCAATGAATTCTGATATGTTATATACCTGTGTAATAACCATCAAGAACATTCTCAGGTAAAAGGCTCTCCTAATGCTCCCTCCCCATATATAATCCTTCAAAAGTAAACACCACTTTGATATCTCTCACTATGGATTTGCTTTGCTTATTTTGGGACTTTCTTACATTATATACTCTGTGGTGTATTTCTTTCCATTCTTTTTTTTTTCCCAGTAGTGGGGACTGAACTCAGGAAGCTACATCCCCAACGTTTTAAAATTTCTCTTGAGTCAAGATCTTGCTAAGCTGGCCTCAAACATGTAATCCTCCTGCTTGAACTTCCCAAGTAGCTGGAATTACAAGCATGCACCACTATGCTTGGCTTAGAATCCTGTTAATGACCAGTGGATACTTTATCCAACTAAACTGCCAGATTCTTGGTCCTATTTCCCTAGGCTTGTTCTTACTAATGTTAATGATATAATAATCTAATTAATGTTAATATATTAATGAGCAAAAATGGCTGAAGTTTCTTTTTTTCAAATAATTAACTAGTATCACAATTGACCTGAAGCCTAGAAGAATAAGCACTGAGAATTTTAAGGAGAGTCTAAGAGAATTTTTAGGGCAGAATATAAAAAGATTTTGTTTTTGTTGAACACAGTGTTTTAACCAGTTGTCTTAGCTCATTTTTGTGGCTATAACAAAATGCTTGAGACTGAGCAATATATATGTAACAGAAATTTATTTCTCACATACCTGAAGGCTGGGGTGTTCAAAATCAGGAGATTAGTATGTCCTGTGTCTGGAAAAGTCTACCTTATATTTTCAAAATGGCTTCTTGTTTCTGTGTCCTTACATGGCAGAAGATAAAGCAAAAAGGGCATAGTTACAGTAATTTTAGTTGTATATGATCCTTTAACTTTAGGAAAAAAACTCAAAGTATATAAAAGGAAAGCAAAAGGTTGAAAAGGAGAAACAAAGCATATACATAATCTGAGCAAAGAGAGCTGTGTATATTTTGTAATATTGGCATAGAAAAGTGTCTTAATCTGTTTGTGCTGCTACAGAAGACTGTGTACACAAGACTGTATACACAAGACTGGATAATATTTTTTTTCCAAAAAAACATTTATTTTTCATTATTCTAGCAACTGGGAATTCAAGACCAAGGTGCTGCCAGATTCCTTGTCTAGTGAAGACCTCATGAAACCATCCAAATGTCTCTATGGGAGGAAGGGACAGAAAGACAAAAGAGGGACAAACTCTTTGCTCACATACAAAAGTAAAGGGTCAAGAAAGTACTTCCTTCAACCTTGAGTCATTTTGTAAGGGTACTAATCACCTCCCAAAGAGTCTCCTCTCTTAATACTGTGGCGTCTGTGCTTGAGTTTCAACATACGGATAGAAATACAGAAATTAAAACGGGTATGTGTGCCTTTAAATTTTATTTATAAAATTAAAATGTTACATGTATAAATGAAATTGACATATTACAGAAATCATAGGTGCATAAAAAGAAAGATTAACATGATATGAAAAATGAGCATTGAAGTTATAAAAGTTTTGGGTTCTTTTCCCAGCTCTACAGCTTACTATCTTATTAACTGACTTAAATCACCTAATCTTTCAGAGTCAACTTTAATATCAACATGAAAATATTTGACATCCTTGACATGTTAGTGTAAAGGTCAAATATGAAATAATGTATATTATTTTATACTTCATAAAGTCTCATGTGAAATTCTATATATAACTGGGGGAGAGAGATCCCACATAAAACACCAAGTACAATAATTGATGTGTAAAATTGAATATTCTGACCATGTTATGTAATAAAAAAAATTTAGTGAAATTGTTTTTGGAGAACTACTTTAATAATGTAAACTGCCAATCACTCAGTTTGAGTTTGTCATATCTAAACTAGTGGATTTTTGAATATCTAACAGCAATTTTCTTCCCCATTTCATTTGATCAAGTTTTTACATTTTGCATCTCAGTTCTAAATTTTGTTGGAAAACCAGATATAATGTTTTTACTGTTATCACTTTCCTTAGAATTTCTTGTGTGGCACATAAATTTGCTTAGCGTCTTCTGTAACAAAAATTATCTAATTGCCAATTCAGAGTGTGAAGAAGGTACTGTGGAGAAAAATATGAAATACTTTTCTTATGATAACCATATTGTTATTAATCCATAGTCAGTGAAAAACTGAGGGGGTTGGGTAGCAACAATAGGTTATATACTCAGCTTTACTTTGGAGTGTCCCCTATTGGTAAATTATGTCAAATGTTTGACAAAGTAAAAATTTGTGTTGAGGCATTAGAACAATTAAATGGTTAGAGAATGGCATCAGCAAGATGGTAGAAAAGGACAAACATTTGTCTCCACCCAGAAACATCCATTTGAATGACTACCCACACTTCAAAATACTTTCACAAGAGCAAAAGTATCCAGGTGAGCTATTACAGAATTGGATGTAGCACAAAACTTTTTTTAAAAAAATACTACGTGGAAAACATCAGGAAGAACAGTTTCATATTGTTATTGAGTTATGGTTTAAATGTATCCCTTCCAAAATGCAGATGTTGATTTTTTTTTTTCCTTGAAATACTGGACATCAAAGCCAAGGAGTACTGGGATACAGCCCTTTTAATTTTATTTTTGAGACAGGGTTTTGCTAAGTTGCCCAGACTGGCCTAAAGTTTGTGATCCTTCTGCTTTAGCTTCCAAAGCAGCTGAGATTAGAGGTATATGCCACCACACCCAGCTCACATACTGAAATTTAACAGATAATGTGATAGTTTCTGTGGTGGGACCTTTAAGAGGTGATTAGATCATAAGGGCTCCTACCCTTATGAAAGAGATTGAGGCCCTCAGATATTTGACTCACAAGCTCTCCTGTCTTCTTCCATGTGAGAACATAGAGTTCTTCCCTTTCATAGAGTGCAGCAAGAATGTGCCATCTAGGAAGCAAAGAGCAGCACTAACCAGACAACTGAATCTGCTGGGCCTTGATCTTAGACTTTTAAGCTTCCAGAACTGTGAGAAAATCAGTTTCTGTTCTTTATAAATAACTTGGTCTCATCACTTTTGTTTCAGCAGCAAAAAAAAAAAAGGAATAAGTCATTGTGTCACTCCTCCCACAAATCCAAAGAGTACAGCACAGCGTGTAGAGAAATACATTCAATGTGAGGAAGAGAAAGTGAAATGAACATACAACTTTTAGCCAGGAACCCCAGCATCAGGCCTAATACAGGAACCCCAGTGCTGGTCAGCTCCTAATGGCTCTAGGCTCCAGGTTGACCCATGTAGCCCTAGGATCAAAGCCCAGCCTTACACCAGTCTATCCTTAAGTGCCCTAGGCTCTAGGAACACAAGCTTTAGTCTCACCTCAGTCCCAGGCTGGCTGCTCCAACTTCAAGCTAGACCGTGAACAGAGATTCCAAGCCTGCTACATTATCAGGCCAGCTGCTGGAGCCCTGCAGTCCAGTAAACTCAGATTCCAGGCCTGCTCAAATAGACTCAGTGTCAGAACAGCCTCCACAGACCCAGGCTTCAAGCTAAACCCCATGTACCCAAGGCCTAGACCTTCTAGAGACTGACGCTCAAGGCCTACCACCATGGACTCAGGACCAGGGCCATTACCATGGGTCCAGGATCCATGGATCCATTGCCAAGGACCAAGCCTTCTTCAGTGCTAGATTGGCCTTCATGGACTTAGGCTTCAGGCTGGCTCCTGCAGGTACAAGCTTCAGGTCTTCCCATGTGGGCTCAATCATGAAGTTAGCTCCAGTGGACTCAAGTTCAGTCTGGCTTTCACAGACCACTCAGGCCACTTCATTGACCCAGTTCCATGGCTAAACCACCCCCATATAGACATAGGCACCAGGACAACCTGTGTTGTCAGCACCACAGATTCCAGCAGACCTCACTACATAGTCCATCTAAATTGTCTAGCCTGTCTGGCTGCCTACTTCTTCAGATGGGCAGTTATCACATAAAGAAACAAGAATCATGAATAATGAGGGAAACATTCCACCAAAAAAAATCAAAAGAACAGTAACCAAATCTATAGAAATGGAGAATGTTAGGATTTAGATCTAAATTGTCCCCCAAAAGTCTCATGTACTCAGAGGTAGGGCCTAGTTGAATGTGGTCACTGGAAGGTATATTTTTGAACCTGACTTCTCCCCTCTCTAAATTCCCTGCTTCCTGGCTGCTATAGGTTGAGTCGTTTTTTTCTGCCATGTCTTTCCACCATGCCGTTCTGCCTTAGAGCCAACCAACTGTGAATTGAATCTTCTAAAAATCCATGAGCCTAAATAATCCTCCCCTCCTTTAAGTTGCACCTGTCAGGTATTTTGTCCCAGTGACAGAAAAGCTAGCTAATACAGACAAATTAATACCAGGAGTGGGGTATTGCTATATCTGTATCTGACCATGTCATTCAAAATCTTTTTGTTATTGTTCATATCTAGCTGCCCCCCACCCAAAGCCTCATGTGCTCATAGGTGGGGCTTTTGTGAAATGATTGCATCATGGAAGCATTATACTCATCAGTGAATCAGTCCACTGATGAGTTTATAACTAAATGTGATATTGGGAGATGATGCCTAGTTGGAGGTGAGTCACTGGAGGTTTGGCTTGGAAGGGTATACCTACCTCTGCCTTTGATCTCTCTCTGGTTCCTACCAGCCATTCCATAAGCACTCCTCTGCCTTGTCCCTCGGCCATTGCTGCCATGCCCTAGAGCCAGCAAACTATGGTCTGGAACCTATACAAACAGAGCCAAAATCAACCTTTCCTCCTTTAAGTTATGTGTTAAAAATTGTATCTCAGTGATGAGAAAGTAAGACACTGGTTTGTAAGAGGAGTTTGGAAAAGTTTGGAGATGCTGGCTAGAGAAACCTTAGAATGCTCTAAGGAGAAAAAGATTCTGGTTGAACTTCAGAAGACCAGAAAGCTGGTAGAAATTTGTACAGTAAAGGCCAGGCTCATGAGGGTTCAGTTAGGAAGAAAGACTATTGGAAACTGAATTATGTAAAGGCCATGCCTGTTTCATTCTGGCAAAGAATTTGTCTACATTTTTCCCATATCCTAAGACTTTCTGTGAGGCTGAATTTAAAGGTGGCAGACTAATTGGCCTGGTGGAGGAAATTTGACTGCTCATTCAGGCTATGGATACTGCTGATTGCTTTTAAACAGATTTATAGTAAAAATTAGGAATAATAGAGCCAAGAGATGTGGAAAGTTTACAGTTTCACCAGGAAAGAAATGCCTACAAAGTTGGAACTGTGAAGAGCATGATTGCTGAAAAGATTAGCATTTTTTTTAAAGCTAAGTATTTTGCATCAGGAAAATAGAAAATGTGGCTTGAAGGAATCTCGGGAATTGGCCAGACCTCACCCATCACAGGCTCAAGTGTGTAAAAGGGTAAACTCCTTTGAAAGACTTTGCTTTGAGAAGAGAATCCCATAGCACCCTGCTTATTCAGGACTGCTTAGGGAAGTGTTTTCCCCAGTTCAGCCATCTAGGCAATCAGAGACTACTACTGCCATGAACCAAGGGAGCAGGCTTCTGCTTAAGCTAGTTGAAGACTTTGGCATTATCCATGTGGTATTTGTTTTGTAGGCATGCAGAATGCAAGAATTATGGGGTCATGGAGGTTTCAACCCTAACTTCTGAGGAGGGCCTGGGAAATCAGTCAAAAATGTGTCAAAAGATCACAATTCCTTTCCAGGAGCCGCTAAGAGGGTGATGCTTGAAGCTGTGAGAGTAAAACCAAAGATGAAATGGAGAACCCAGAAAGTCAGAGAACCTAGGAATGTGGAAATTCTGCTGAGGAAAACTACAGGCAGCAAAAGGAACCAGCCTATGAGAGAGGCCTCTTGGGCTCCAATCAACAAGGCCATAGGAATAGGCTGTCTAAACCCTTTGGAACTCACATCTCGCCACAACTTACCCTGAGTGCATAACATAAGAGCTGTAGGGTTTAGTATTTGGCCTGCTGGGTTTTGGTCTTGCTTTGGTCTCACTCCTTTCATTCCTCTTTTCCTCCCTTTTGGAAAGCAAATGTTTATGCTATTTTATGGTGGAAGTCTTTAACTTTTTGATTTTCATGGGGACTTACAGCTAAGAGTTCATCTTGTCTCAGAGGACACTTTGGACTTGGATTTTCAGTAGTGCTAGAACTGTTAAGATTTTGGAGTCTCTTAAAGGTGAACTAAATACATCCTGCATAAGATGGACATGAACCTTTTGGGAACAAAGGGTAGACTATTATGGTTTAGATCTAAAACATTCTCCAAAAATCTCATGTGGTCAGAGGTGGCCCTGGTCAGAAGGGGTGGGTCACAGGGAGCATAACCTGGAAGATTGTTTTCTTATCCTCAGCATCTGCCTTCTCTCACCCTCTGCTTCCTGGC